AAAAAACTAAAAAAAAAAAAATAAATAAATCCTTTCAATTCCCGCCTGATTCCTGATGGGAGATTTCAATGCATTAGTTAATAACTTCAATGTATCTCGTGTTATATACATATTGCTTTTTTTTTATTTATTGAATTCAATTACATATTATTTCAAAACGTACATATGTATATGATAACAATTTTTTTTTTTCATTATTTCAATATTGTTTAGAATTAACGCACTGCCTGCGCAAGAAAACGTTCAACAAAGAATTTTTTTAAATTTTTACAAAACTAAAATTAATACTAAATATGGAAATATGTAATATGAGTATGAAAATACTTAAATATATATGGAGACGTATGTGAATATTTACTTATTCAGAAGAATTAACATAACTTGAGTGCGCATGCGCATCGCTGTTACTTCTTTATCACCATAAGTACGCYGATGTCATTTTCCAAATTTGTGATTTTATAGTGACAGCCTGCGGGGTAAGTAAACGTACATTAATTAATGTTGTGTGCTAAACGCATTTGAGCATGCGCGCCTTACCAATATTAATGGCTACCATATCACCAACACCGAAATTGGCGCTTTCGCGGTCCGTGCTGATTTCAAATGAGCCCGCAAGTACAACAAAGTGCTGCAAAAGAAATGTTACACTTGCATTAAATGGCAAAAAATAATTGTATCATATAGATATATAGTATATTGATAAAAATATTACCAAATGATACTTCTTCGCACGCTTCGAAGGCTTGCACTGCAGTGGCTTGAAGCGCAAATAGCCGAGACTACACTTATCATCCGTATCGTAAAAGGCATAGTCTATACCCTGCAAATCGGTAAAAAATAATTTACCAGCAGTGGCTAGAAAGAAAAACGAAACACAACAACAATTAAAGTCAATGCATCAATCAGCTGTGTTATGTTGCAAGACACTCACAAGGTCGCATATCCATAAAGACTTGTCGCTCATTTGTGGCCGATTGCAAATGTGATACATTCTTCAGCCAATCCAGCAACTCTTTACGATTGCTTTTCGCCGTTTGATTTGACTCACTGTTTAATGTATTGGTCGACGCCGAACTTGTTGCGGCCGAAGTTGACGTTGCGGCGGATATGTCACGTGCTCTTAAACGACGCAAACGTACACGCACAGGTCGTAAGCGAACGTTACTATCTGTCGTCGGAGTAGAAGTGCCCGATTCTGCATCATTCGGCATGGTCTCCCCGTCGCTCAAATTGTTGGCGGCATTTTTCAATTCGTCAAACATTTCATTCAGCTTCTCTAACGATGGCGGTGGTGGCAAATAAACGCGACTACACTCCAATTGTCCTGTGCGATTTGCGGTGTCATCGTCCGCGATTTGCTCTRCTGCTTCCACTGCGTCAGCTTCTTCTCGCTGCTGTTGTTGCTGCTGCTGCTGCTGATTTTTTTTACCACCTGTAACTGTTTTTCTGGGTCTGCCTCTTTTTTTCGGTTCCGCAGTTTGCTTTTCTGCTGCACCAGTCTTTTTTTTCCTATTTGTTGTGGTTTCGCTGGCTTTAGTTGTGGTTTTCACGTTTTTGTTGCTGTGGGAGGAGGAAGTGCATGGTAATTTGTTGTCATTTGGCGCTGGTGCGACTGCCATTGAACTTGCCACCGCTGCTTCATGGTCATCAGTTTCGATGGGTGTTTCTGGAATTGCTTCCAGCTGTGCACTCAACGCATCACTTTCGGTATTTCGTAGCGAGTTCACGGTGCTCGATGTTATATTCGTATCGCCAAGGTAACTAAATACTGGTGCTTGCGCGATCACTGTTTTTTTAGCTTTACGAATCCGCTTCTTCACATTGGCATCATTTACTGTGCTCGAGGCGACTGGCGTGCTCAGATCACCACCTCTACTGCCGTTACTGCTGCTGGAGCTTGTTCGGTTTGTTGGCTTCTTTTTAGTTTTTTTTAATGACCTTGAATTAAACAATGATTCCAAAAGTGAGTGTCCATTCCAATTGGAGGTTAGATTACTCGGTGCGCGCTTCGATCGACGTAAGCCTGTGTAGTGAAAAACAGAGTTTAATTTTATGTAAATGATATAAAATAGTTGCTAAGAAATTATTAATTATTTATTTATTATTATTTTATAAAAATTAAAGTTGCCACTTACCTTCGGTGTCATCTGTGCGCTCAGTTTGATTCACATTGCTGGAGATGTAAGTTTTTGAATCTTGTGGCCTTCGTTTACGTGAAACACGTGGCGCAAGCTTTGTGGGCTTTTTGAAGAGTTCATCATCATTTTGGCACACAACTGTTGTGGCAGCAAGATTATTATGCGACGCGGATAATGTTTTGGCCTTTGCACCATTCGCACTACTATCCATTGGTTTGTCGGAAAATGCCGTTGGCGGCAAAACAAATTGTTCCGTTGGCAAGCTCGGCAGTACAAATGTGGAAACGGTCGAATAGCCCAGTGGCGGCGGCGGTGATGGTATTTGTATATTGCTTACCGGTGAAATAACTGGTGGTGGTGGTATTGGCTCCGTTAGTGTCGAATTTTTTTTTAAATTTTCTTTTTCACTATCTGAGGCCTCGCTATCTTCGTCAAACGAATCACCTTTACTGTACAGCGAGCGCTTGGACTTGTTATACTCGCGGCGTGTTTTAAAACTCTCTTCTATTTGAAAATATTTTCTTGTTACTTCAGGCTAAAATTATGCAAAATATTTTTACAAGTGAATACGCATACAAATATATTATTGTGATATACTAAATTTAATTTCAAACTTTTYGTCAAACAGTCATATATGTATGTATGTATATATGACGAATTATTTTTTCGAGTTTCAAATATATTTTACAAACAGATATTTTGAATTGAAATTTATTTACAATAAAGAGGAGCCCTTTTACATGAATAAACGAAGAATGGTGGGAATTTTCTTGTCTTGCTGTGTTTTGGTACGGGCGTTCTTAGCACACATAACGAAATAGCGTTTCATTTTTATATATAATATAAAATGAAAATGAACACGACAAAAATGTATTTTAAACCGGCAACACAATTATACCAACTTGTAAATGCCTAAAACATTATTTGAGGTTAAGTACTTTTCACACATATTTACGGTAAACAAGAAAAACAGTAACTTCGACTCCACTAAAGCTGTAATAGCGTGCACAGGTGCACTCCCTATATCATGAGCGGATTAAGGACAGATGCGTGGCAAACTTAATATACGCGTTTCAAGGTATAAACATATGACGTTGAGTATTCTTGCATCATATTGGCGCAATAAAAATATTCACTGGTTTCATTAAAACACTGGACACTTTGAGCACCAATTGTGTGTTCTCATAAACATTGGATAACAATATCGCACATGCCATAAAGTCGTTTTAAAGAGATTGACACAGACGTACACTTTAAGCGATTAACACGGTTAACCGTGCTTTCTGCTACAATTCCTAACACTTGAACACTAAGTTATAGCACTTCAAAAAAAGCTTACACATTACTGCTAAATTGTGATTACACTTACCAACGCTTCTGTATGTTTGTTTCGTTGACGCGTTTTTCTCGCCTTTGTCGTATTTTGAACATTATTAACTTTGGTTGAAACAAAAGTAATACGTTCATTACTACAATCATCAACTAATGAGTTGTTATAACATATGCGCTGTGTCAATTGTAGTAGTGTTTGGTACAGTGGGTTTCCATTGTCGTTAGTATTAACTACATTAGGTGCAGCAATATCGACACAAGAATTATCTTTAAACGGTGCAGGAACATCAGGCGTAACAGTAGCATCTACCACATTATTCTCAGTATCCAAAACTGCGACAGCAGCATTACAATTATCTTCAGTGCTTTTAGTCACACCACCGGCAGTATTATTCTTTAATAGTGCCGGTGTTACAGTTGCATTGTCCAAGAAAGCACCGTCTGCAGCAATAGTAGTTGTGTTATCCTTGAATGCTGCAGGTGCTTGTGGCAGTTCATCTAAGATGATTTCTTTAATTACCTCAACTACTTCAGTCGCCAATGGCGATTCGGCCGCACTAGATTTCTTTTGATTTAGCTCACTGTAATCCGTTTGCTGCTGTACCTCCCCCCGTAAACCCTCAGTGTAGCCCAATAATTCACGACGCAAAATTTCCAATTGAATTTCTTCTTCAATTTTCAATTTCTGCTCGAGGGCCTGTTTGTTGACACCTGACGATTTTCGCAAATGTTTACCATTCATTAAACCCATCGAATTGCGTTTGCGCAAATCAAGAATTTCATGATTTGTTAGACGTGCCAAATGCGCTTTCAACTCATCGGCGAAGAGTTCGCCATTTTTAGGTGTACTTGGTGCTTTATTTAAGGGTCGTCGCCGCCTTAATTGTTGTACTTTTATATGTTCGACAGGTTTCACGTGTTGCAAATTAAGTGGATGCGCTGGCGGTGGTCCTGATTCGGTTTCCGTATCACTTGTGAGTAGTGATGATGACGCGAACGCTTTGGCGGATGGATGGTGAACACGTGTTCGCATTGTGCGTTTAATTGTCCGCCGATTACGCTTCGTCGTCTGTGGTTTTTCAGTGGCCAGATTAAGTGGGCCACTTTTACGTAAGATTTGCCTTTTATACACCGTGTAATGCATATCTTCCTCCTCATCTTCATCATCAGTTAAAAGCTGTGAAATTGTTTTCTCTGTAAGAGAATGCTTAGTGCTAGGCGCTTTATTTGCAATTTCAGTGGGAACTTCCGTTCTTTTATTTAATTTTGTGCATTTGGAGGCATCATGATTGACGAAACTTTGTTGTTTAACAAAATTCTCTTCCAAATTTGTATTGTTTAACGTTGTATGAGCTGAGCGCGTAGGTCGTCGCTTATTGCTTTCATTTAACAATATCGAATGGACTGCTGTTGTGTTTGGTTGGTTGTTGTCGGTAGCAGCCTTTTTATTACCGGACAGACTTGTTACATTCTTATATTGTACGGAGTCTGTCGGTAGATTAGTTTTTGTTGTTGTGTTGTTACACGTAAAAGTAGGATGATTTATGGGATGATTAGGACTATTGAAATTGCTGACACCATTCAAATTAGCCGCTGAAATTGTATGCTGCTGTGTACAATGCGAATGCGAGAATGTGACGCCGTGTATATTGTTGCGTGATATTGCACCAGTGGTTTGATCGGCCTGCGCTTTGGACTGCGTTACTTTATCGCCCTCACATTCAGGATTACTTTCTTTTCTACTAATCTCTTTGTCTGCTGCTGGTGTTGGTGGCGCATTGTTAAAAGTCTGATTTACGGGTATAACTATTTTTGGTGCTTGTAAATTGGAGTGCCTTAAATCAGTCAGTGTCTTTTGCACTTCCTGCAGCAAAGATTCAGTAGCAAGCAAATTACTTTTAGCAACTCCGTTATCAGTTGATGCCGGAACAAGTGCTTGTTGTAATTGTTCTTGTGATTGCTGCAATTCTGTCGTATTTATACTAGACTCGGGCGTAACGGTGTGTGTGTGTGGAGGATTTTCAAAACTTTTGAGTTTTTTTATTGTCTCCTCTAGTGCTTCAACCATATTTTTTATTAATGGCTCCTGTTGTTGTTGTACAGCATTATTTTGTGTGTGTTGCATAGACACTTCATTTGGAATGCATGCATCTTTTGCCGGCGTTTTCGGCCTATTCAGTGAATTATTTATTCTTGCTGGTGTTTTCAATAAATTTGCGGGCGGTGTATGATGCATTGGTGTACTGCATATTGCTGGCGACTAAAAACGATAAATTTTATTAAAGATAAGTTCAGTTTAAAAATTTTCTGCTATGGGGTTAGGCAGTCAGCATTTTCAAATTCAATTAATTTAGCTTATAAATATTATCTAATATTTTTCGGTATTTCCGACAGATACTTTTCGAGTTATTCCACATAAGTATATAAAGCTTGGCATCGCACTGAAACGTTCGTGTAAAGCTTCAAATGTTTTTTCTCAAAAATTACGTTTTTGAACTGAATACTGAAACAATTAACTGTTGTTTAAAACTATTTTGTGTGTTTTCGATTTTAGATGAATTTACAAGGATTAGACATGGTCACCACAAAAAGTGTCGGTTACAACTTAACCATCAAACATGTATTACTTTTAAAATTATTATTTTTTTTAAGTACTATAAAGTTCAGCTGGAAAAATTTGTATTCATGCTATTATTTTATAATTTTAAAGAATTTTTTAATTTTACTACACCTAACCCCTAATACTTACAAAGTCTGATGAGCAAAGTGTACTTTCGAATTCCGCAAGTAAAGTTCGGCGTCCGTTGTTTTCTAGATTTGAGATACGTTTCAACACTTGACGACGTAGTCGATCGCCACTTCGAAGACCACCACTGCGAGGCAACTTTGATAATGCCGATCGTGGTGTTTTTGGTATAATAGGGCATGGTATTTTTGATTGTTGAAATGTGTCTGACTTAGTGCTAATTGCTTGCTTTTCCGGTCGGTTGAGTACCTTCAATAATTGTGGCGAAACTGGGATCATTGGCAATGGTGGTTCTTCCATTTGTTTATTTGATTCATTTTCTTCTGCTAGAATTGAGAGCTGCAAAACTTCTGATTGTTTCGATGGACTTCTTACTTTAGGTTCAATTGTGCATTGCTTCGTTGGCGATTTCACAGGTGAAATTACCATACTTTTAGTTTCAGGACAAGTTTTATTGTTAGCCATTGATAAAATAACTGGTACAGAAGCAATACAAGGCCTTCCATTCTGCTCTGTATTTAATGATTCATCTACAGTTACAAGTAATTGTGCTTCATTTACTTGTGAAGCCTCTTGCTGCAACACTTCTTGTTCAGGAGGAAATTCAACCTCCTTGTGTTTATTTTGAACATCGTTCTCTTTATCCGCATCCTGCGTTTCTGGTATGACACATTCATTTTCATTTTCAACCTCAGTTGTTGGCACTGGTGGTGAACTTATGCGCTTCAGACGTACATTTAAACTAAATCTCTGTGGTTCAGCGTCAAAAATTCGTTTCACACCATTACGCACCGTACCACTTTTTTTCTGCAAGAACTGTGCCAAGCGATGACCATCGGTATCGTCAAGATATTCCGAGAATTCGCTTAAATTAAAGCAATCGGATGTCCTGCAGGTATACAACTTAGTTTAGTATATATTTATAATAATGTTGAAATTTGTGTATATATTGAGAAAAAATTAAAAGTCAAACGACGCAAAAACATTTTATAGGTGTTATTAACACGAAGCAATCACAACTACAAAACTATTTGTCAATTCCTTTGCACGCACATCACTTTTAGAAATATATTAATTGTTCGTATTATACTCAATATATATATTTAACGCAGCACTTACATATCACAATATTAATTTATAATTTCTTGATCTTGAACCAATTTTTGTTGATATAAAAAATTATCTTCGATTCTCTGAAGCTTGTGTTTGGCCTCCACAGAGCCGTTACTGCGCCATTTTTTTGAAATGTCTTTACGTTGCCACTGTCTGTTCGTGCAATTAAATTCAACGCATTTACAACAATATTTTCTCTATACCTTTACCTTTTCAAGTAATAGCGTTTAATTCTTTTTCAAAAATGTATATTTAATATATAAAGATTTACCTTAATAACATTTTATAATATATATACTAGTATGAACAATTTTTTAGTGTGCAGCTGCTCCAAAGCAAATGTATAAATTATTGGCAACGCTTGAGTGTATTTCGTTTGTAGTGTGCATGAAACACAGCTTTAACCTGCTTGTGAAACATTGGTGGTAAATAAAATTTAAACGTATAAGTAGATTTATATATTTAATCTTAATTAAAATAATTAAAAGTAGAAATATATTATATGTATTTGTATATAATATTATATATAAATATGTACACATATAATATTTTTTAATTACTAATATTACATTTAATATTTTCTAGCAATCGATAATGATTTGCTCAACTGTGCGTTTTATGAAAAATACCATAATGGAAAATAAATTTAATCCCAATATGTATTATAATTAAAAATCAAAATTAAAAAAGTGTTTCAGTATTAATATATTTACGCGTTTGAGTACTTACTAAATTTTTGACATTTACAATTAAATTTTAAAATAGAATATAATTTTTCCCCTCAATAATAATAACAGTTTAACCCTTCTTATGGTGGAGAAAAATACTTGAAAACAGTTCGGCGATTGCGGTCTCAAGGCTTAATAATCATCTCCTTTAAGTTGCCAAATTATTGTCCCAGCATGAATAACAATAAATAATTTGCTGAGGCATTCCGACGTTCTTACTCTACGAAGTTTATATTTCAACGGATCCACTTCTAAGGAATGGATAAGTTAGGCACCAGCTAACTCCAATTCTTGGGTTGGGTACTTAATCCCGGCAGGATGGTAAGGATTAGATAAGTTGTCATCGACGTCTTCCAACGGTAGGCTCAGGAAACGTGCTGTTTCGACGGGGTCGGACCAAAGTGAGAAGGGTGTCAGGTGCATAGGGTTAGCAGGGCATTCAAAGTGGTCGCTGGTGTCACGCGGGGACTCATTGCACGCGAGTTTAACCTGTATCTAGAACGAAGCTACACAAGGGTCACTCTCATTTCTTGCGGCAACCCGAGGTCTTTGTCTGCAATGGATTTAGCTTGGACTCCAAGTACGCCATTCACTGAGAGGGAGTCGGTGAAGGCGCTAATGGCTCCACTGCGAGCAGTGCTTGTCAAAAGTTAGTTGCGTCCGAAGTCGGGTCAGCGTACTGTTTGATGTCGTCGAAGTATTTGAGGAATGACCTTTTGATGCTCCTAGCATGGTTCCGCTTCAAACAGGTGACTGCAGGGATGACGAAAGCACCCCCTGCAGGAACTGCTTGGAGGGGAGTTCATTATGCTCCTTAACTGGGAGCATACGGGGCTGACTATGCAGCTGCTCGATGGGAGACATCAATAGGTATCTTGTCGTAGTTCAAGTTTGCAGATTCTTCGTTTGTGATTCGCTGCATCCAGGCGACGATATTGCTGCGACGTAATTAAGTAGCGGCCGACCGATTGCCCTGCATGTTGCCAACAACGTTTCTTTGTCCTTTCCCCTTGTGCTGTGGGCTAGCGACTTGAGTGTTGAGCTTCTAATTCGAAGAGACCGAAACCCATGTCGTCCTCTTTATTGGACTCCGACTTCTCCTTTTTGGCCTTTTCCTTCTTTTCGGCAGCAGCGCCAGCACCAGCAGCTGGAGCAGCGGCTGTCTGTGCTTTCGAAGTCGATATTGAACGTGCTATTCATGCATATTTTTCGTTTGATTTAAAGGAAAACGTACTCAAATATTGGGTTCATCAAATTCGTTCCTGCAAAGGAAGTCGTAGAGACCATATCAATGATGTTATATTCAGAGCTTAATTGTATCGATTGTACTTTACATTTAACAAGAAACATTGAATTTTTTTCTTACAATTTCAACCTTATTGGAACACCCGTTATGTATGTATGTATCTAGTTTAGAGACTCTTAGTGTCAAGACCAGACTAAAAACTTCAAGTAGATAACTTATAAATGCAGTTATCTCTGCTCAACTTTGTAAAATATTGCAATTTATCTTATCAGACCTCTGTTAACTGCTGTTACTTAGTATTTTATAGTTTTTCGTTTAACTAAATTGTAATAAAGTTTTTATGTGTCAGATATTTTCACTTAAAATGCAAAATAGCGTAACATCACTTTTCATAAGATCGCAAGCGGAGGAAAAGCAATCTAATAGAAATTGTCATAATGAAACCAAATTTGAATTTTGGTTATAAAGTGGTTATATATTGGTTACATATTAGTTATATATTGGTTACATATTGGTTATATATTAGTTACACATTGGTTATGTATTGGTTACATAATGAAGCTGAAAATATTATGTTACAATATGCATGTAATATGATGTAGTGAATCGTTAGCCATAAAAAACTCAATTTAATTCTTTTTAATTATATGTTGTTTAGCATTTTAGGTGACGATATGTACCATATACAATGTATTAACAACAAACAATCATTTCGTTCTAGTTTCAAGTGCTGATAAGCTAGCATGTGCAGCTGCATGATAGCAGTCACAGTTATTTTATTGTCATTGTTAACAAGCCTCTCAGAGAGTGACTAAAAAAAACTCGAATGCCTGAAAGTATTGAGGTAGTGATCTCTTAAGGTCAGATAATCAACCGTTACACTAGTCTCCGCTGAAAAGGCAAAGCTTCGGAGGCAGCGATCTTGCCACATTTTTTCCAAAATTTTTGAAATACCATGCTTTGCGAAAGCTGACTATGTAAAGACGCCAGAGTAAAACAAAACTTTCGAGAGAAATAAAAGCCTGTTTACACCGTCAACAAAGCCTTGTCAATAGAAAAAAATTGAATAAATATTTGCAACTGTTTTCTGGGTTGTATCAAATAAACAACGAAACAATAAAAATAGAATACTGTAGACTCACGTGGCAGACATTCAAATATTAAACGTGAGCAGAAAGTAAATAAAAAAAGAACGTATTGCTATATTTTTAATTAAACAATGAAATACTAAAGTTTTACAGTCATAAATACATATGTAGGAAATAAATAAGAACTTAAGCAAATATTATTTGAGAGATCGGTTCTTCATAATTATATTTGAACGTTTCAGGCAGCTTGATATTAAGTTTGTGCTGGCATTGTTCTCATACTAGACTATTGGTTCGTCAATTTAATTCTGCATGGTTGAGCATACAAACTGCCAAAGCTATGGAGACTCTTATTAACTTCTTTCTGGCGCTGCAACTAAAAGCAAATCGTTGGTTGGGTACAATATAACTCGCCACGTTCTCTACGACTTTCGAAAGTAGATGAGCGTCTTCAATTTCACTGCACCAGCCGCTCTGATTTCGCATTTATAATTACAAAACAGGTTGGTTTCCAAACAGATCAGAAGTTGACATTGACACACTGGATTGCCGATCTGTTTTAAAGTGATCCAATTCGAGGTTTCCTTAATTTTTTAAAGAAAAAGTACAGACACGTCAAATTAAATTGGGAAATGTTTATTATCGTTCGAAATAACATTTTTGGCATTTATTTTCAGAAGATTATTTCTTTTAAATGTTGATCGCAGCTCCGTCTCAGATGGTCCATCCAATGAGTTCAATTTTCGATGACTCAATTGAGCGTTTCTACTGATAACTGCCAGATGACAAGCGTGATGTTTTGATTGACATGGCCTGTAACAGACCGGGATTGTCCGCATAGTCTTTAGACCTTACAATTTTCAAAAGCATGAAATCTGCTCACCGAAGAAAAAAATCCATTAATCGAGGTGAATTCTCTCAATAAAACTATTGCTTGATGCGATGTGTGGGCAGTGGCGCCATCTTGTTGGAACCAAATATCGCCGAAATCACGAGCTTTAATTTGCGACATCAAATAGTCGGTTTTCATATCTTACGTTCTCATCGACAAGGAAATATGGATCGATGATTCTACCAGCCCACAAACCAATCCAAACCCTTTTTTTTCTGCATGAAATGACAGCTCTTTGATCTCTTTAGGTCCTTAATGCTCTCTGCATCCTAAATGCAACAATTCTTATTTGGCGTTGTTTGTCGTTTCATGTAACGAAATAGCAATACGCTTATGGTCCGTTCAGGATCCGCGTTTTTCTAAGTGAAGTAGTCTAGTAAGGGTTTGTCTTCTTATCTCGTTTATGTAAGTCGTCGACACAAGCAACTTTTAAGTTAGAAGTCATTCGCTTTACCTTATCGGCCCGTAGGAAAATTTCGCATTTTCAATTTCCGCCATGCGTATAACTTATTGTCTTGCTCTTTATCTTATCACACCGATCAATATTCACATTGCTCATCAATATACTACATATCCATGTACATAATACATATGTACATATAGTATGTACTATATAGTATGTCTGACATGTATTTGCCGTTCTGCATGAGAGCGAACTTTGGGAAATTTCGTTGCTTATTTGAACTGCACTTTAATTCCAGATCGACTTATTCAAGCTCAAGGTTTCGAATCACTCGCATTCGCTCACGTTGCCCTGCACTCTTTTGACTTTGCTTATTGTTTTTGCTGTTGGTGTCACGTTTAATCAGCGGATGCTTCCTGTGCACTGCGATCCATGCGGGTCTGCAGCTAGTCACTGTCGGCCGAGAATCGATTGCGAAACATCGGTGTGCATATTTAATGTCGATCGCTGTTTGTGTGCGCGCTGTTTTGGTGCATAAATTTGACCGTTAAACCCATCGGTTGGCATTTGCATTTACCTCGCATATTATATGGGTAAAAACGTTCGTATTATCACTCATATTTTCTACCCTAACGTATATGTTTTACAAGGGTAAAATAGATCAGCGATCCTTTCTTTCGACAGCTCGTTTAAAAGGGTCTAAAGAATGTTCAGAATAACATTTGAGTACCACTAACAACTACGATACTCTCATT